ACAACGGTTGAAGGCAATTACAGAAGTAGAAAGGCATAAAATGTGAGCCCGTGACTCGGACGTCGCACAATTCTACGGGCTTCCAAAAGTGCACAAGGTGGGTGCTCCGTTGCGGCCAATTGTTTCACTTCCAGGCACAGCCACCTACAACCTGGCAAAGGACATGTGGAAGCGACTCAAATATCTACTCAATGGATCGCAGCATTCCGTAAACAACGCCAAGCAATTTCTAGAGAAGCTCGAAAGCCTGCATATAGATCATGACGAAACGATGGTCTTCTTTGATGTCACCGCTTTATTTACATATGTCACTTTGCATCTGGCAAGTGAAGTCACCATACGACGCCTGAACAACAGAAAGAAGAACAAATTGGGTATATGACGACCGCAAGCATCTGCAAGCTCCTCCAACACTGCTTTATTCAATGGAGAGATCTATGAGCAGGTGAAGCGGGCAGCGATAGGATCCCCAGTATCAGTCTGCTCGCTGAGATAATATAAAAGTTGGAAGAAGATCATCTGCTAGCTATTAACCCGAAGTTGTGGGTACGCTACGTCGACAATATATTTGTAATACTCAAATGCAGTGAAGTAGCACTCGTACATCAACTGCTCAGCAATACCATGGAGGGGATTCAGTTTACAAAAGAGTTAGAGGCAGAAAACAAGTTCCCATTCTCGGATGTATTGGTGACCAGAACAAAGGATGGTGAATTTCAAGCATCCGTTCACAGAAAAGGGACACATACGGATCAAATTTTGAACTTCTATAGCAACCACCCAAAGTGCCACGAAATAAGCTACATGCGGACACTATTTCGCGGGATTGAAACACACTGCAGTACGGTGGGAGCCAAACGGGAAAAAGAGAAACACCTATTCGATTTGTTTGATCCCAATGGATACCTACGCAGCTTCATCCGCAGATATCTAAACCACAAACCTACAAACACCAAGCCGATGCCAAACGCAAGCAAGACGGCCGTTTTGCCGTACATGACGAACATATATGAAATAACTGCTAGATTGCTCAAACAACACCGCATCGTGATCTCTCACAAGCCAACCGCTACTTTGAGAAGAATACTGTCAAACCCAAAGGACATTCGTAAAGCACAAGAACGAACAAACATCGTGTATAAAATACATTGCAGTAATTGTGCAACTACGTGCGACAGACGGGAAGGAAACTATCCACAATGGCACAAGAATATCAGTGGGCTTGTAAGATATTATCCATCTTCTTTTGTCTCAGTGCACGTGGACAACGAGGTACCTATCATCATCGTCATCATCATCCTCATCATCGTCATCATCATACACGTTAGCTATAGGTGGGAAGCACCTGATTTACTGTGCCGCAATACATAGAAAAAGGAGAAAAAATAATGCAACTGGTGCAAGCCGGCTGAGCTACCGGTAACTGATGGGCGTCGTTCTGGTAAGCTACCAGCCGGCTATTGTGCATCAAAAAAACTATGCAAAATTATAAAATGCTAAATAATGAGATCGTGCTTGGAGGGGAAGGCTAAGAGGGATGGGGTGGGACAAAGAAACTCACAGCACGAACGCCACTGATACTGATACTGATTAGAAGCAGCGAGTAGAGCATACTCTGTGTAGCTGCATCAGTTGTCGCTCTTGGACATTAACGCATTACTTATCGTTCCGCTCTTTATATTTTGCCTCTGCAAAGTGTATGTCTAGAAGCTTCTTAAATTCGGTCACTGAATTCGCTTCTATTACCGGCTGCGGCAGGTTGTTCCAGGTATTCACCACTCTACGTTCGAAACAGAGTTGGTGAGCTACCCGCTTCAACTGCGGTACGATAAGTTTGTACCGGTGTCCTCGCGTGCTGCTTGGTGTGCGCAGATGAAGCAGTTGTCTCAACATGGGGTAATCACTCAGATGTAATATCCGGTGCGTCATGATTAGGTCAACCCTCAGCCGACGATATGCTAGGGTGTACAGCTCTAGTTTCTTACATCGGTCTTCATATGGCATACCTCGTATGTTGGGAATCAGCCTAGTGGCTACATGCTGCACCCGCTCAAGCTTTTCTACCTCGCCCAGCGTGATGGGACAATATGCGGGAGAGCCGTACTCTATCATTGGTCGTATTATCGAGACGAAGAGGCGAGTGGAAATCTCTTCGGACCAAGTGCTGAAGCTGCGCCTGAGCGCCCAAAGCATCCGAAGGCTGTTTTGGTACAGCCTATTCGTGTTGTCAATGGACTTTAGGTCGCAGCGTGAGAGCACACCGAGATCGCCATTGCTATCAAGGTTCTAAAAAACCAGAGCTGTGCAAACAACGCGCACTGCTGCAGGCTGGAATTGCCTTGGCCTTGAACATGACCTGCCTTGATCACCTTCATCCTAATGCGACAATCTGATTGGTCAAATCATATTGCCCAGTTAATGAGTTGGTTGCTCTCTGTTTTGCTTCATAATTGTACACGCTTGATGAGAAGTATCGAAAAGAATATTCTTTGCGCATTTGCTTACTTCTGACTTAAATGGGGATTATTTATGGACTTTCGGTAATTGTTGACCTCGTTGTCATTGATATAGCATGATGCATGTTCTTTGCTCAACTGTGCGTAAATACTCGCTGACCAGCCTTCACATTATCATCTGTCTGATAGGATTTTCATCTTTTACTCATTTTGCTCACAATCTTGTCAACTAATGCCGCCAAGGGAATTCAGAAAACTGAGCTGACCAATCTGACTACGGTGCTCCAGCTTTTTTTCTCCGAAGTGTGCTATCTGTCACTGGCCCTTGCATATTTCTGAGGATCGGAGCGACTGCGACTAGTATGTATTTGCAAAAGTCTACGAATAGACATAATGCCATCTGAAACCATGGGATTCAAACGCAGGTATAGTAAAAAGAATTGAAGACAATCTAATTGCATTGCGTTTATCAACATTTGGCCATGCATCACACGCGCACAATGCAAAGAACGATTTTGATCCTGCTAATACACTCCGAAAAAACCTTTTCACGACACAGATTCATTGCAAACAATTCCTATCGCCACTTTGCCGTTCCCAAGTAATTTCGTTCCACATCAACGTAATCATTTAAAAACTATCTTTTGATCACAAACGGATACGACGAGGACCTTATTTTCCAACAAGTCTAGTCATGCCACCCCGACGCGTGTTCACTTTTCTCAGTGCGGGAACTTTTCCATTCACATTATTTGCGCCACATGTCTTCTCAACTAACCACATTTGAACGGCTTCTTTTATCTCCGACCAGCTTATGATCGTTGTCCTGTAAACGAGCCCTCGCATTATCGACTATAAACAATGTATTTATAACGTCTAGTTGGTGCAGCAAATTCCATGAAACACGGGGGCTACCGTTACTCGCTGCCATCTGTCCAAAGACTACACAATTGACTCGATCTGCTGATCCCTGTGCCATACATCCACTCTCTCGTCCTGCGCTATATCGCACTTAGCTTACAAATCATGTCGGTCCGAAGCTGTCCCCCTTGGCCCAATGACATAAGCTCCTAACTGGCGGTGCAAGCCGCTGGTGGTCATGGGTTCGAGTCCTGATAGATCCGAGGGATGTGCACTACTGATGATGCCCAACATGCTGAAACTGCAGTCTTGTGCTTTCTTGGCATGTAGACGACCATGTGATTTGGAACTGGCTGCGACGAACCCTCAGTTTATTTTATTTCATAACCCCTACTCATGATTACATCAACATATATCCGCTCTGACAGTTTCTAAATGTTATGTCGTACATTGCTGCTGTCAGTGGACGTCATGTCTTTCTGGGTCAATCCTGTCCTCTGCAACATTCCAAACTTGCATGACAGTGGAGGATAATATGCGCACCATCGCAGTTAGCTTGCAAATCATGACGGTCCGAAGCTATCACCCGTTGCCCAGTGGCATAAGCTGCTGACTGGCGGTGCAAACCGCTGATGGTCAAGGGTTCGAATCCTATTGCATCCGATGGATGCGCACTACTGATTATGGCTAACAGGCTGAAACTGCAGTCTAGTGCATTTCTTGGCATGTGGACGATTATCTGATTTGGAAATGGCTGCGACGAACCATCAATTATTTATATCAAAATTCCCTACTCATGATTATGCCCTAGTTGTATTTGTTTGTTTAGCCCACAAGCTAGCTTCCCTTTGGAGTTTGCGCAGGCATGTTGCAAATGCCGTCCATTCCATTCCGAGGCACTGATCACACACAGATTAATGGGTCGTTCTTCTACCCACCCCATACACTCATAGCGTACGCATGTACAACCCCGTAATGTCAAATAGCTGGGACAGTCTTTTATTTGCCACTGACATACTTCGCAGTCGTTTTTAGAAATGGTGCTTCTGCGTAGATAACTTACCACTGGCTTGGTAACATTCTATCTCTGGCCGATGACTACTGGTTAGACTGAAGGATCGATCTGGTCTGTTTTTATTTGGCTATTCCCAAGAGCTGTAGCAACTTAGAGCCTGTATTATTAAAATGAAATTCCATCACAAGCATGTGTTTGTAGCTTTGGGGCGTGAAGCTGTCGGTTCTTACTTGAACGCTGCTTGCTAACGTCATTCCCCGCCTCATATTTGCACCTCACAGACGATTTCAATGAGCTGTTTCATCTAGCCCCCTTATTGACCTGGCTCATAGTAATCGCTTTTCTCGAACACATTAGAACATTTTCAGACGGGTTCTCATGAAGAGCTTACTTGTATGTGATCGACTTTTGATCAGTCCCCTTGTAGGAACTCATTCGACGCGGTCTACTGGGACACCGATCGTCCAAAAAATTACATCAGGTTTTGTTCATGAATATGCTTGTCGCTTTGTTCCACCACATTTTCCTTCTCCAACTGTTGTTTCTTCCTATATTACGTCTGTCTCTGGGAGTATCGTGTGGTCGGTCTTCAGGGTAGTCCATAGTTGACTTTTTCTTATGCGGTTTTCTGGTGCACCACACCTGTAACTTTCTCGTTTGTCCCGCAGATCGACGACGTTGTGACGGTTCGCTTTCACAGTGCTAATCCTCGGAATAATCTGAGACAAAACGATACATTTCTCAAGGTGGAACTCTACGACAACAACACCAACACATGGACCACTCGCTTCACCGATGCAAACTGGGAAACGAAGTGAGTCACATGCTCTCTCCTGCCACACGAGTGCCTTGGTTCGTCTGGGATTTAAATCTTTTTGTCACTTTGTGGAAATGTGACGTTCTTTATTTATACCGGAGGAGTTGAGTGATATTCTCAATGGCCACACGCCATTGCTAGCACGTGTGGAGGGCAGGGTAGCCCCTACACCAAGCGGCGAGAACTGCTTGTGTTAGACGATCTGATTTCTAGCGTTTGGTATGTTATTTCTTGACTGACTGGTTGGGCTCCTCTAGTTCTTAGACAGTGTTGCCCCTGTACAAACGCGAGCATTTTCCCCAGCGGATTGTGATAGCGTATTAATACGAACAATGAATCTGCGTTATTTCGGAGAAAAACATTCCCGAAACGGTCATGGAGGATCCTGAAGACTATCTTATAGCTGTTTTAACACCATTTCCGCCTTTATCTTTTTGACACGTTCATACTTGAGTTTTAGAGCAGAGGGCAGTACCCACTTAGACCACAATAGATTCAGTTGCGATAACTCACCCCGCCACGATGATGTTAGTTAACTATCGTGGGGAGGTGAAGTAGTATACATAGTGAGAGGCTTAAGGAAATTAAGGTGGTTTCACATAATCACGCAGGAAGTTTGATACTCAAATGCATGGGACCGAACGTAGGGGCGCCATAAACACCGCGTCTACACCACACCGGATAATGTCATAAAACAATTATGTGTCCTGCCACACAGTGCCCATGCAGGAAGTGAGCACGTACCAGCCTGACTGGATCTCTTGGTTCATTTCTTCATGACTCTTCCATTCATGTATATTTATTTATTTATTCACAGTCTGTTAACAGATATTGTGCCATCAGAACCATGGCAGAAGAAAAAAGTGCAGAAGATGGGAACACGAACTGCGATTAAAAAAATGAGAAACGACTTTTTTGGTTTTACACACGCCATTTTGTATTTTTTGTTTTGTGTGTTTTTGTGTGTATTATACGGGGGTATAATGGCAGAACAACATTGACGCCACTGATGTCTGTTGCGGGCCATGACGTCTAATGTTTCCAACCACTGTGATTCAATACCTCGTGGTCCCAACCTGGAAGACGGACTGATCCGACTGCCGCCAAACTGGAGGTTGCCTTCTTCATTTTCCTTCTCCACGTCATTGGCTGTCCACTGCGGCACTTTTTCCAATCGCTCCCTGGGAGTGCAAATAGTGCTCGACGTAAAAGGCGATGGGCTGGCATGCGCAGAACGTGCCCGGAGAATAACGTCCTGAAGACTGGTACTACTCGCTCCAAGCACGCGGTCTCGCATCTCTGCGAGCAATCCTTCGTAGACAGCGATTGTCCAAGACTGACAGCCGCTTCGTGTCTTCCGAGCGAATAGGCCGTATCACAGCCGTACAAGAGTACTGCACGGACGGAAGCATTGTCCACCTGGCTCTTGAGCTTGAGACTGACATCACGACGACGCCATAGGTGTCTCAGTTTGATGAATGCAAGGCGGGCTTTTGCAGTCCGTTGTAAGACTTCGTCTCCAACACCGCCACCAGCCGTGATGCAACTCCCTAGATAAGTAAAACAAGGGACTTGCTCCAGAACATGTCCAGCAATAGTGAGCGCGGGTTCAGGCACCTGCCAGTCCTGGAGCAGCGTTTTACATTTTCCCGGAGTGAAGCATAAGCCGTACTTAGACGCCTCCATCGCCAGGCGGTCCAAAGTGCTCTGGACGGTTTGTGGGTCTTCCCCCAGCAAGACGATATCATCGGCGTAGCCCAAGTCCGTGACTCTGTCTCCAGGGAGGAGCTCAACACTGCAGTCCTGGACACCTTCCAGGACTCACTTCACAGTGAGTCGCGGTCAATATTAGGGTTGTGCGTCGCAATCCATTCACACAACGTTTACTTCAAAAATGACCCACCAATCATTCTTCACTTTCCGTTGCCCCGCTGCTGACTATATCCACTCCACTGTCGATGTAGCCGCAGTCGGCTCGGTTAGATGACGTTGGAAGCCGATTTACCCATCGCTTTTTTCTGTTCGTGCTTTTCTTGGCTACATGAATAAGTTCATTATCATGATTACACACTATCTGAAGGTGAGAAACACGCTCCAGCTATTTGGCTGCTATATAAAAGTTAACATGTCGGCAAGTGTATCCAACCAAACGTGTTCATCGTCCTTCGGACTCCAGCCCGGTAGTCGGGAGACTAACCGAAGTTCGAAATGAAGACCTTCATTCCATTTGACCGAGTCATCGGTTAGCCTTCCCTCGTCTTCCCTCCATACCTCGGTTGTGCAAACATTGCACGGTGCAGGACTCGGCGTTCTGCCATGCGCAACACGTGGCTTAATCATCCGAACTTGGTGCTGAGAGGTTCACTCGCTCTTTCTGTACCCAATACGAGGCGCCGCACTCACTCATTGTTCACGTCGTGTTCCCACCAGACTGGGTTAAACTGTGAGCGCATAGATGGTCTAATGTATCCAGCCTCTTTATGTCTGTCGATTTGGTGGGTTAGGTTTCACAACTATACGGGACGGTTGAACGGACCTCTGCGTTGTAAATTCTGTTCTTCACGGCGAGAGTGATGTCAAGTCGGCGCCACATGTAGCAGCCATTGACAAAAGGGCTTCGAGCTTTTGCCATACGTTTCTTGACTTCCTCTTCTGTTTCACAGGTGCTTTAGTCTCCGAACGATTTCTAGTTGATAACCACCAAGGTTCAGTGCAGGAGTGGGTCCCTGCTATTCTTGGAGGAGCACTCTGCATATCGAAGGTGTAAAGCATAACCCAAAGCGACTGATAGTGTTAATCCGTACAGGACAGTCTGGCACTTTTGGAAGTTGTTACAGATTAGGGCGATTTCGTCGGCTTACTCCAACTTATGAAGTCGCTCACCAAGAAGCACCTCCCTAAATTGTAGGTCGTGTGCGGTTTACATAGTTTTCATGACTTCGTCAATGGTGAGGTTAAAAAGGAAAAGTGACAGCATGCAACCTTGTCTCATACTGCTGGAAATGTTGAGAGGCGGCAACAGTTTACCATAAACCCTCACTCTGTCAAAGCTATTTGCATACAGCGCTCTGCTAACGGTCACATGTTTATCGGGCACCTCTTTTCTGACTAGCTTGACGACGGCGAACTTGGGTTCATCTGCATATGTTGTTGTTTGCTTCGCATGCGTTTTTGTTTCCGATGCATATGCCCTCTTCTGTGCACCTAGACGGTGACATTCTTTATTTGGCCGCATCGCCGTCGGAGATGCACCGATTATTTACCTTTTTTGCTCACGCTTAATTACTTGAAGGGGGCGTGCCGAGAACTTGTTAGCATTCGGACCGCATCCATTCGCGGGAACGATCAGGCGGTAGCAGTGTGCAGTCCAGTCCACACTTGCGAGGCACTTCTGTGTCCGGACATTCTGTCTTACCACCATCATCATCATCATCATCATCAGTACACATTAGGTGAGGATGAGAAACATCCCACAGCTAATGTGCCGCAATACCGAAAGATACTACACATTATGGAGTATAAAAATTAAAAAAATTAACATAATGTACTCATACATATGGGATTTTGATATAACTGATTGGGGATTTGTCGGAGCCAGTTCCAAAGCAGCTAGTCGTCCACATGCCCGGAATAGCACTAGACTGCAGCTTTTGGCTGTTGGACATCATCACTAGTGCGCATCCATCAGGATTCGAACCCATGCTTAAGAGCGGCTTGCACCACCAGTCAGCAGCTTATGCCACTGGACTACGTGGACAGCTTCGGACCGTCATGATTTGCAAGCTAACTGCGATATTGCACATGTTATCCCCCACTGCCATACAAATTGCGAACGTTGGGGAGGAGAGCGTTGGCCCCGAAAGTCACGACGTCCACTGGCGAAAACTGTTGGGGCGGACGTTTTGGTTCATTGCTGAGTAAGGGATTTTTGATGTAATTAACATTGTTCATATTCGTGCTCACCACTGGGCTCAGTAGTTTGCAGCAGTTTCACCGCTGCGGTCTAAAACAACTGTTCTCTTTACTGACACATCTACCAGAACGAATGTCTATAAATCCGTGTATTGCCAGTGTCTTCGCATTCTCACTCGCCGTCCTCTACTCAGCGGTGTCCCGCATACTCATCTGCGATTTGCTGAATGGCGAACAACTATGCAGTGTCCCGTCAGTGGCCAATCTTTTCCAGCCATGCTTAATTAACGACACTTGCCGTCTATGTAGCCTAACTCCCATGGATCCCCTGCAGCTGTCCTCGAAGAAAATCTATGCCGCCCAAGATGCCGCCGCACACGAGCACTTTCTTGCCTCCCACTATGTACTTTTGCAGATGTTCCTCATCAAATGCACTATCAGCGGTGCAGCCATGTTTACCAACGTTTTGATTTTATATGGTTTCCACTCTTGCCGAACAACCTCCTCGTGATGCCATCTGGGTGGTTCGGGATTTTCCCGTTCCAGCAAATGGATCGGTGGCAGTATTCCAGGACGTGGTGGATTTCCGCCTAGCAAGCGTTCTCCCTATAGAAAGCCACATATGTCCGTTTAACAACACTGTGACGTGGCGGGCGTGACTCGCCACTAAATAAAGTCACTGCCCCTTGTTTCATCCTGGCGATCATTGTATTCCAGCAACGTTATGCTGTAGTTCTGGGGAGCATTGGGCCCCTGTTTGACAAAGGAACAAACGAAAGGCGTATGAACTGAGCAATCAGTCACCGGCTCCCAATGGGCGCGATTCCCTGAATTCGCTCCGCTGCCTTGCGGACAGGCTATTCAGCCAAAGGCTCGGGGTGGTGTCCCCTAAGTCAACACCCTACTTCGGCTTGGGCAACCGGGTAGTATCTCGCCCTCTGACGAAACCATGGACATTGTTGTGTTATGTTTTCTTTTCCTATTTCTGTACCTTCGTTTGAATCCCATGGTTTCTGATGGCATTATGTCTATTCGTAGACCTTTGTATATATATATATATATATATATATATATATATATATATATATA